AATGGATCGGTGATGCGTACTTTCTTGGTTTGCCTGAGCCTACGAGCTCATCTCCTGTAGTGCACCAAAATTGTGTCGCTGGGCTAATTTGAAAAGAGTAGCTGAGCAAACTCAGTTCATTCTTCGTGCCAACATTCTTCTTCTTTTGTTTTGAATTATTGTATATACTAGGTTAGTGGGGTGGCTTGCCACCTGCTAATCTCAATGGTGTCGACGTCTCCGTGTAGTGGTTGACGTTTCATCAGGTATCTGTCTGGTCTTAGTAGTCATGTGCTGATGGATATTTCAGCCGATACATCAAACCGTAAACACAATGTTCACATATTCATACATATATCATTTGAGAAACAAAACATGGCATGAGGGAGAGGCAGTAACGCAGCATTAGCAGGTACACATGACTTGGATAAAACCGAATTTACGTGACAAAATAAGCTTTCTACGGTAGACCACATATATGAGAAAAGACGTTCCTGTGACATGAACAGAATTTTGTAGGTTAAGAGACCATAAGAACCATAAGCTGATTAGTGTTACATACTCTGTGGGCTGAAATTAATGATCAGTTTAGTGATGCTCAGAAGAATATGCTTAATATAGCTCGCTTTCTCATTAATTTGGCTCAGTAGGAAAAAGAGGGCCCCAGATTGCACTGCCTTCGGAAGGGTGGTTCTTTTTTTTCTGTTTAAGATGAAATTAAGTGTCAACTTGAAATCAAAATAAGACGAACCTTGCTTTTATCGTAAAACTGCACAAGGAGTGGAAAGGGTGTGGAGTCAAGCAATGTATCAGCCAAGTCATAGTTTTTTTTTAATGGAGGCCAAATATTTGACTCTTTCATTAATTAAGAAGAAGAGAACTGTCTAATTAATTAACGAAAAAAGGGCAAAACCGTCACAAATTCCAACATAGGAAAACCTTGGATACATGTACATGCAATTGTAATTATGGATGTGTCCGTGGCCCACTAACTTGAAAGGAAGAAGGCATAACAATACAAAGCAAGGCCTGAATGTACTATATTTATTTAAAAATGGTACGACTAAAACTAAAGCATAAAAATAATCCGCCTCTAAATATATGCAGTGTCAATTAATTTGCTGCTAGCACAAAAACTAGGGACCATACTAGCCCAATAGCAATGAATTGTCTCATGCAACACATCAATATATATTAATACATCTGCTCAAAAAACAATACCAATCAAGGCAAATATATGTTTTGATCGCTTTTAGCATATAGGAAATCAAGAGTCACAATTAATCCATGGTAATTAAGTAACAACAAGTAATAGCTCTGTCACCTTACATGCAGATGTAAAAAAGCTCACCAGGAAATGAAAGAAAAGGGCTCCAGCCTTCAGTAACCAAGATCACGTTCTTTACTTCATACTCAGTTAATTTTTTGAATTGGAAAATATAAGCTTGAGTGGCAAATGAATAATTTCTGAAATTGGTATGGCTATATAGCAATACTATTGTATACTACAACAGGTAAAAACAAAGCAACTACAAAGTGCCATCTTAGTCTCTACGTGTGAAGTCTGAAAGCTATACCCTTATTCCCATACTGGCAAACTGATTTAAATCCAGATGCAACAGCTGAAACCGTGAACTCATAATCAAGTTTGCATCCTAAGTTTTAGGAATATCATAAGAAACCAGGAATGAAAGCTGCTTACATCATATATCATATGGATATTAAAAGAAGCCTAAATCCAAGAAGCAAATCTATTCAAAGTACAAATTTCCATATCAAATACTTGATGCACCATATTCCACGCTATAAATAATTTCTTTTTTATTTTTTCCCCCTAAAAGAAAGAAAGATTTGGATTTCCAAGCTGTCAAATCCCCTCCCCATTGATCCTAAAAGAAAGCAAGATACCAAAAAAAAAGAGATAAGTCTATATAGATTACGGTATGTACCACTAACCAAGCTTTCAATTGAACGGTAAATGTAGTAAATTTCAGACTATGAAATTCATCCTTGGACCACATTTGAGGCATCTAAGCGTATAACAATACTCAACAATAGCAATCACTGGAATCACCTTTCCTACCAACTATGCTGACGGAGGCCTATTGTAAACCCAATAATGCATAGATGGTGACATCAGTAAATTCAGTGTATTATAAGCACATTGTAGAAAGGCCTATTGAAATTTCTGGATCAATGACGCAGTATTATGAACACCGTACTTCTAAGAAAAAAACTCGCAAACTAATACGTCATCTGAACAAACTAATTCGACCAACTTACATGCTTCCACTCCCACATCACTTCCATGTGGTAGAGAAAATGATGAAAAGCTCATGTAAATGTGCAATAACAAAATATTCAATGCTGAATGATTTTCTTGTCTTCCACCGGCTCTATAACAAAGGTCAATACAAAGATTAATGCAAGCACTATAATAACTTTTTTTTCTCACATGTCCACAACTCTGACACAACCATGAAGTAGGCAAAAACACAATATTGATATGTTAACAATATAGATGTATCAGTGATATTTACAAGCCTATCTATAAGCATAAAGGGAGAATGTAGTATCAAGGCTCATGTCCCTAAGCTCAACACCAGGAACCATATAATTTGAATTTATTAAGTCCAAGACTTATGTGCTATTTAAGTTCCATCAGACTCACCAACACAATAATTTTCAGGAAAAGCGCCTCTATCTTTTTGCACCGAATTATATAAGAGTTATAAATAATTGCTTGGTCTGTGGATTTGCAGAATTAGCAATTTTAGTGCCTTGTGGGTATTGGGTAGCTTTCGTAGTGACTTATCCCCCTATCCGGACTGAACTACAGTAAGAAATCTCTCCAAGATTCTAAAACAAAACATCCATAAATGAAAAACCATGAAGTGGAAGCGAAGAAAGGAACCAGGAGAGGTCTTCTATATCACAATCTTTATCATCTCTCAAACTTCTCTCTTTTTATCCCAAGAACTTTTCTCAAGCTTCGAGCTCAAGTAGTGAGGCCAGTGGTGGTTCGAGCGGGCGGCGATCCTCGTGTGCCAATTCCAGGGAAGGTTTTCATGTGGGTGAAAGGCTTGCTCTGACCTTGGCCGGAGCTGATGATAGTGACGCGTGTAAGAATCACACACCATCTTGAAGACATTGTTGCTCGAGGGCCCATACCCCCCTTCCTCGCACTCTAGGAGAAACCCCAGTTCGAGGTTACTGGAATGGGTGATGGCGACACTCATGTGTCGCAGTCCTCCCTGGAGGCATCGTCTTTGGAGTGGTCTTTAGTTTGCGGGGACATTCACTGCTTGATGCAGGGGATCTAGGATGGCGCCCCAGATCGATGTGGCATGGTTTCTTGTTTGGCGATAATAGTGGCTTCAAGCGGACCTTGGAATTTGAAGGGTTTTGGTAGTCGGTTTCATCTGGCATGTTTGATCGGTTGTCGTGCCTCACCTTATCTTTCTAAAGTTAGGGCTGCTGAGGAGGGCCATCGCGACAACGATGATACATGACAGCTAGTCAGATTCATTGTTTGCTCGACGAAGGCCAAACACTTTTCTCCTACAATCCTCATCGATGGAGTCGGAGATGACTGGTTGCCGACACATGTGATTAACTGTTTGGCATAGGACGACATGGGTCTCTATGCTTCTTTGAAGCGAGGGCTACATTGATGGTCGTCGATGGTAGAGTCAGAGTGGCTGGCTCATGAAGATGTGATAATGATGACACCGGATGTCAACCGAGACGGTGATAATTTTCTCCTTCACAACATGTGTGTACTTTTGTGGGTAGCCACGTCAGTCGAAATGCCCTGCAGGGTGTGTTGTTTTTCATCCGGTTGTCTGCTAATTAACCGGACAATACTCTTCTTCTTTTAGTCAATAGAGATCCTCGTAGGGAAACTTAAAACAAACACAAGAACACAAGCATCAAGAGAGAAACACTCTAGAAACAGCCTTACGCCCCGCTTTATATATAAGGAAACAACCAAAGTACACGGCCGAATAATACAAGATGGTGAGGTAGCCCTCTTACAAAGCCGACCGTGAGATATGCGGCACATGCAGAACACACGCGACTATGCTACTAGCTACGAGCACCGGAAGAACTAAACACCCCTACGCTATGACCTAGCACACCTAAGCTCCACGACAACGCCCCCAAGAGGGAGAACAACACATAGTGTCGCCGCTGCCGAGTCCATACCGGACAAAGTTCTTCATTCCGAGCCCAGACACTGAGAGAAGAACCACAACGACATCTTCAATAAGAGTGGGGCACCCTCGGGTGACGTCGTCGCCAAGGCACGGTGCATTCCCTCAGTAACTCACTCGTGCCACCACGAGGCCGCCAGTAGGAGCGTGACAAAGTTAGAACCCCATATCCGGATCAGGACACCGCCCACCAAGAGGGAGGGCATGTTCGAGCTACCCATCGCAACATGTCCCGTTGCCCACACAACCCGGGAGGAGAGCCGCCAACACCACTGCAATGATGCCCGCCAAAGAGAAACCATGTGGTCCGCCATCCAGGGCTGCCGGCCTAGCGTACCAGTCGCACGATATCATGCACCGCCCACACCACAACACACTCAACCATGGTAGGAAGAGTGACGACAATCTATCTACTCCTAGCCCAGCATAAGTCCCCGAGTCTGGGTAGACGCTTACACCGTAGGAGGCACCCACACCTACGTCCCCAGCCAATACCTGATGCACTAGGGGGCATGACTCTGAGACTGCTAATGGTCGCCGGTGAGCCAGCCCCTAGCTCTTGGTCAAGTGAGCTCACACGATGCCATGTTCATGGTCACCGGCGCCGATCCGGGCACCAACGCAGCGGTAACACCACCACCACCATGAAAAACCACCCGGACGGTACCAAGGCCCACCTACCCCGGACGATGGCCCCGATCTGCCTTGGGCCCGGATCAGGTCTGCCTGAGCACAACAACCCTAGATCAAAAAAACCTCCACCACCACCCATGCATCCGGTACCATCGGTGCCCACCCAACCCCGTGCGTCGTTGGTTCTGATATAGGAGAAGGGAAGGTGCTACCTCCACCCACACCGTACGTCGAAGACCGTCCAAGATCCGGACGCATCCAGCCCGAACTGAGGAGCACACACACACCACCTCCAGCCATCCAGGAGAAGGGAAGGTGCTACCTCCATCCTCGTTGCACGTCGACTTCTGAAGCGTGTGCAAGGTGGTGTACGCTTTGGGTCCGTTGCACCGGGTGTTTGCTCCTGGTACGCCATGCAGGCAGATTGACGGTGAGTCCGGCTCTAGATGGTGGGGTGTTACGGCATTCCCCATTACCGAGTTTGTAAGTGTGGGTGATGACTTTGTGTTGTTTGATGCTGTATGTTCTTGCAAACGTTTGTTGAATAGTTAATAATATGATTGTGTGCATCGCTCAATGCAAAGGCCGGGGCTGCTCCCCTTAAAAGTAACTCACTAGCTTTTAGTTGTAATAAGTAATTACGGTTTAGTGTGGTTGGAAGTATTTTTGTATTTTCGGTTGTAGAAAATAAAGTTATATAAATGTGAACAGAATTGGAGCGTTTTAGTGGATCACACGCAAACATGCTCCGATACTACTTATGGATGTTAACACACGCAAACATAGTGGATCACACGAGAGAGAAGGATTTTGTGCAATGCAAGACCTGCTGCTTTTCAATTTTTTCTCGTCCTTTTATTCAACTATAAGGGAAATTGATCATGGGGTACTTCTCACATTAACCAATCATGACCCGCAGGATGGCGAGAGCGCTCTCGGGCTCCATTGAGCCCTTTATTTTCAAACATTCAAAAATCAACGTTTTAGGTTTCAACAAAATCTGGAAGAAAATACACAAGTACTTATAGATGTATACTAGATGTGTGTCAAATTTCATCATGAAATACGTTTTTATGTGGCTTGTACAAAAAAGACAAAATCATGTGATTTTATAGTGAACAGTACATGTGTTAGAAATGCGTGATTTTGTCATTTTTCTGTAGCTCGCATAAAAACATATTTCATCATGAAACTTCCCAGAGAAGTAGGATACATCCATATGTATATGTGTGATGTTTTTCAAAATTTTCTAAAACTTAAAATTTTGAATTTCAAAGTTTTCAAATAAAGTGCTCCACCATGGAGCTCGAGCTCCATTGGGCATTTCCGGTGACTAGGTCGTGCAGTCAGGCTACTTCGAGGGATATCTAAACGCAGAGCAAACAACACACACATTAGACCGTGCCCTCGTGTGGAAATACAAAGCTAACTGAACAAAAACCAAGATGCTAACTGAACATGTAAAATAGAAGTAGCTAACAACGTGACTGAATGAAGTAGCAGGGATTGGACTAGCTCTAGGGTTTCTACCGGGTGTTCTTATCCCACACAGTGAAAAAACCAGCGGATGAGATCAAACACCGGTCTCATTCAGAACACGGCATCCAAGTCAGTGCGGAGCCACCTGAGTCGACCACCATTCATCTATTTAGATACTAAAATCACAAAAATGAGAAAATAAATAAAGATAGTTCTCAAACAGAAGCAAAAGATTCAGCCTTTGATCTGGTGGTGCAGCATTAACTAAATAGATAATAATCATTAGATTTTCATAACTGTACCTAAACAGTACTAATTATTCTGATTCAAATGAGTGTTCAAACAGCAATTTCTTTGTCCAGATATGCACTAATGGTAGTATACATTATATTAGCGGTGCAGCTAGCAAAGGTGTTCTAACTTCTTAACATGCCTTAACAGCCCATTTGGTCAAAGGATGTTGATGGTGCCAGAGAGGAAATATTTCAGTTTCTTCGATATGAGAGCAACATGAAGGTCATCTATGTTGATGGTTGGGATGGATTCGGGGCGTCCGCCATTCTTAGATCCATAGCAGAAGTGCTCCCATCTAGGAGAACCACTGCAGAACTATGCTTTGACAGAATAATTTATGTAGATTGCTCTGAGTGGAAAAATAGAAGAGCAGTGCAGAGGACAATTGCAGAGGAACTGCAACTTGACCACTCAGTTATGGCCATTCTAGATGAGCAGGATGAAGAGGATGATTTTAACAGAGTTGATGAAAGCTCAAGGAATGAGATACGCAATGTCGGGAAAGTGATTAATCAAACCCTGAGGGGCACCAAGTTGATGATGATTTTTCTTAATGGAAGTGATGAAGAGGTTGACATAAGCACCTTTGGCATTCCTCTTGCAATATTTGACAACAATATAATAATATGGACCTTTAGCAGAAGGAATCACGTCCATTCAAAGGATGCACTAAGATATACTCATGCTTTCTCTCATTTCTATCATTCTATCAAAGAATTTTCATGGCGGGAGTTTCTTCGACTATTGTATCAACAAGCTGTTGCCATAGTTGCTCGCAATCCATTTGTGCCAGAAATCGACCCAACAATGGTCGCAGATTGTTGTCTCTATGAGTTATTCCTGCATTATAATTTCCACACTGTCACTGAGTTTAATTGGGTTGGTCATGCTTCCAACTTCTGGATATGTGATGCGATCATACAAGGGGACAGGGCAATGGATATTAGTAATTTGTTGCATAGAGAGATAAATTGGGTGTGTGATTCCTCTTTGCCTGATGGTGTGCTTGAAGAGTTCATGGGAGATTTCGTGACTCCTTTTTGGCTAGTTACAGATGACCATGCCTATGAAGAAGGTCCGTACCGTTGGATATCACTCACATCAAGCAAAATGGATTTGCGAACTATATTGATGCGCAAAGAACAAAGCAATATGGAAATACAGGGCTTGCGAACTATACCTGTAGAGACATCATCTTTCTTCTTGGCATTTGAAAGTTCTAGTCAACAACGAGGTTTACCAGACGGCTTGTTTGAATGTGCCAACAAGCTTGGTGTGCTAATTCTCAGTTGCTGTGCCTTCGATTTTGCATCACCCCCTTTCCAGAAGTGTCAGAGCCTAAGATTCCTTGGATTGGACCATTGTACAAATAGTAAATCAGGTGAAGGAGAGGATAATGCAGAGTGGACATATATATGTAACGTATTGGTGTTGGACCTACGTTACACAGAATGGAATGAAATCTTATGTGAAGAAAAGATGGATCTCATGACTAACATGATAGAGCTAAATATAGAGGGAGTCTGGTGTCAGCAGTACATAGGTAACCTACAAGGTCGACTACCTAACCTCCAGAGGCTACGGATAACCAAACCAAGATATAAGTGGAAGCCATCAGAGGATTTTGATAACTCTTTTGTAGATAAGACAAGTATGAAAATACTCGACTTATCAGGGAACAGTGAAATGGAAATTCTTCCAGCAAGCATATCGAAGGCAAGTAGCCTTCAGTTGCTTGTACTTGATGGTTGCAATGGACTGGAAAGCGTTGGCGGGCTTCCTTCCTCCCTTGAATCCTTTAGCTTTAATGGATATGGGCCAGCTTCTCAATGGACACAAACTGTTGCGCTACCTCCGGAACAATTCCGCCCGTCCACAATTGAAGACTTTAACATGGATATTAGAGTGTCTGAGATCTCCTTAGCAGGCTGCACACAATTGAAGAACCTGTTTTTGTGTTGGCTACCCAACCTTGTGGAATTGGACCTCTCTGGAATTGCAATCAAGATATTTGACTTGAATACTATGGTGGTGCAAGTCCCGAAGCTCAAGAGAGTATTTCTAATTGGATGCACGCGACTTCGTGCAATAATTCCGATGCACGAGAGTGGCTCTGAGATAAAACAAGAATTGGAGTTATTGTGCATAGACACCCGAGTTGGAACAGTGTCTTCTCGGCCATCCATCAACATGACCAAATCCTTCAAGTTTGAATTGCATGTTGTTGCCGCGGATGCGAGGCTTACTCGCTCTGTGAAGGGTCTCTTGTTGCCTTACGTACAAAAAGGCATAATGAAGGATGTTTCTTATAATATCCATGTCACCTCCTCACCTGTGCACGATGGAGTTGTTCAATTCGAAGCAACCAGCAAGAATAAAGTTGACCCCAGTGAAGGTGATCAAGGGAGCTTGCAACAGCTTATTCCAGCAGGCCCGTATAGTGATGTCCTTAGCATGCTTGGCAATCCCCAGATGGAGGATTTCCCGCAACCTCCGACGAATACAAAGCGGGACCATCATATAGAGATTGCTAAAGGGAGCTGCTATGTGGAGAGCGAACTGCTAGGAGATCTAGGTTATTTGGTGGGAACTAGTGCTGAATCACTGCATGTACACGACGTATCGATGCGTGCAATTGCTCTTTATGAGTTTTATCAGTTTGCTCTTAAGTGGTGCTGCGTGGAGAGGTGCCCAGAGTTGGATGTCGTCTTCCCTTCGGTATCGACTGGATTTAATGTACTGGAGACCTTCTGGGCGTCGGATCTCCTAACGGCCCGCTGGATTTGGGGTAAAGCTACATACAAGGGTTTCTTTTCCCACACCGCCAATACCTTTCCAAATTTACAGCACCTCCACCTGCGCTCCTGCCCTCGTCTCCAGTTTGTGGTCCCGCTGTATGGCTTGTCCTTCCCCAGCTTGAAGACCCTCCACATCATCCACTGTGGTGACCTAGTGCATGTCTTCGAGCTAAACATGGATTACCCAGAGAAAATAACCGCCCTCAGCGCAAGATTGCCGAAGCTGACCACCATACACCTGCATGACCTCCCGAAGCTTGAGAACATATGCGAGGTCAAGATGGTGGCCCCGATGCTCGAGAGCATCAAGATCAGAGGGTGCTGGAGCCTGCGCCGGCTTCCATCCGTGGGCGCCCGTGGCCAAGGCGAGAAGAAGCCGGCGGTCGAGGTCGAGAAGGACGTGTGGAACACTATGGAGTGGGACGACGACCACCGCCCCGACCACTTCGAGGCGCCAGTCCACTCCCGCTACTACAAGGAGAAGCTGCCCAGGGCCTCCGTTCTGAGGTACACTCTATGCATATTACTACCGAGTCCATCTTTGTACAATTGTGCCGGTTCCTGGTTGCATTCAGTTACTCACCATTTTGTTTCGCCGTCTCCCACATCGCCTAGGTGAACTCTACGCTGCCGTGTTAGTTTCTTCCGTCGCTACATCAAAACGATGGATGCTTGTGCTTCTGCTGCTGAATCGAGTGCTTGGTTTGCTTGTGTGTTTGCTTGGATTGATATTGTGTGGCGTTGTTGCTAATGCCTGTTGTGGGAGCTTATGGTGGCTCTCGCCTTGTGTTATATTGTGGCTTTCAAATAAGAGACGGACAGGTTGGTGCCTGCATACATTGACCTGGCCGACGCACGCGCGTGTGTGTGGTTTGCGACTGCAGCGGCTATGTGTGTGCATCCACCAGGCTGCATTTGTGTGTGTGTGTGTGTGGCTTTAATGTGTGCTTGCTTGCTATGCGTGTGGAATTGTAAGTTTGTAACAGCTGCGTGCCTATGCATCTCTACATGGCTAGCTGCATTTGAGAGTGTTTGCTGTACTTATGAGTGTGACTATGTAGTATTATCTGAACTTGTGTGTATGTTTGTTGTACTTCTATGAAAAAAATGAAAAAGCAGCAGCTATCTGTGCTGGTTGTTGCAATTGCCTGGCTCTGTGTGTGTGAATAATTGGCCCATCTGTGAAATCTGTGCAAGTCAAGCATCTGAGTTATGGCTAATTTTTATTATTTCCGATTATCGAAATAGTGGTTTAAAGTATTGCACTGACACTACTGCAGATTACAGTTCTCATGTGTTTCAATGATCTTACTGCTATTTTTAAACACAAGCTATTTTCTTAGGAGAAGCTCAATTGACTACGGTTGCAGTTATTCCGTTGTGAAACTAGCTAGTGCTAACTACTGAGAAATTTTGAGTATTGCCAACATGCAGCAGCATATCATTAATTCATTATCAGCACAGAAACATGATTGAGCGATCAATGTAGACAGATGGTATTAAATATCGAACTTAATTACCTTGTTTGCATTTGCCATCATCTAGCCGGGCTGTGGAAACTGGTCAGTAGCAAACACCAATCCAACGCTGAATACAACAGGTACGGTAGTCAACTCTGAATACAACAGGTATGGTAGTTGAGTTTACAGATTCAGAGAAAGAACACACAAATGAACCGAAGAAACATACAGGGTTCAATTCAGATCTCACTGCAGTTTCCCATTCATCCACACCAATCCATACATCATACAACCATCCGTCCATCGTCAAGTCATCAGTCACCAACTCATCATCCATCCATACATTGCGCATTGCATCAAAAACAGAAGGGGGTGCGGAGGACAGAGAAGCTTGCACTAGCTAGACATCTCGTCCACAGCGAGACATCTTGCCTCGTGCTAATCCGTTTCCCTTCTCTGTTTTTTTCTTCTTCTGTTCGTATTTTCAAAAATGTCCTAAATACATATATTACAAAACTGAAATTTATTTAAATGTATGTGATTTTTTTTAAATAACGCAGTGTGAAAACATTGTTACCATAATTTTTAAATATTGTTGATAGCATTCCAAAAAGGATGATTGTAACATCTAAAATAATAATCATGCATTTAAAAACAATGTATGGAGAACATGACATCTTCGACTGCAGCGGCCTGTGTGGCTTGCAAATGCCTGGCTACTGTTTCTTTATTCCCCGGGTATTGAAGTAGTGGTTTCAAGTATTGTGGTACTGCTGAGTGATGAACAGGTTATAGTGGTCACATGTTTAGATATTAGTGAGAGAGAATTCAAACAACTGCTATTTTTAAACAGAAGCTACTGGCGACGGATGCTACTAGTTTAACTGCTAGTAATAGATATATGATGCAAAGTGCCAGCTGAATGAACTAGTAGCACATTTGAACATGCAACGACTTCTAAGTTCTTGGTTTGTCCTATATTTCGTAACGAGACTAATTTGGTGTAGATGTTCGTTTGTTTTTTCCAAAGTTGGCGAACATTTGGCTGCAAATGATGCAGCAAATCCAGCAGGGTCAGCACAGAATACTCAGCTTCTGAACAAGCTCTCCAACCATGAACTCTAATTACAAGATTATTACATGGAGATACTGAAGAAGAGATAACAGTATTGCCTGCAATGAGCCAATGATAACCATGTACTCCAATTAATTTCACTCACTTTCAATATTTGATTTTCAAGAAACACTTGATTGATTCCAAGGACCAGTTCAGTTTGATGAACAAGAATGAATGTTCCTAGTTATGCTCAACCACCTCAGATGCATCCAGGATCCAGCAAAGGGAAAAATTACAGTACCAAATCAAATAGGTATACAACACAGGTCAAAGTGCAGAGTATGAGCATGGAATACTTGTATTCAACAATATTGCCGTCACTTAATTAATAAAGAAACTCCAACTTGTATTGAACCATCCATGCATAGCTCAGTTCAGTATTTTCACCTTGATTGAATTATTAATATGTATATTTTATATCTAAAATGTTTAAACGCATATTTCAAAAAACTTTAAAAAAATGATTTTTCAGGGAGCTGAGTTCAACTCGGCTCAAACCGAGTCACAATACATGGGACCTGGATGTCATATTTCTCATTAAACGGCTAATCAGAGTAATTGTTTGGTTACTTATTAGTCCTATCTAGAGTAATCATAAGTTAATAACACATGGAACCTGCTCACATCTGGCCGGAGCCAAGCATCCAACCAAACAATCTCTCTGTCATGATCTTCTAGGGAGGCATCCGATTTCGGGGTTGCACACTTTACCTTTGTAAACAAGGGAGAACGAATGATTTGCTGCACTTTGCTGTGCAATGGCTTTCCGTGGCGCAAACTACCATGGAAACCAAACCCGCACTGCAAGAGCATCTGCATCTGAATCATCTTTACTTCTTTAGAAATGAAAAGCGAAAGGCAAAAGAAAAACAAAGCAGCAGCAAGCATATTTGGCAAAGAGAAAGCAGGGGCATGCATGCATGCAGCCACAAGCAAAGGACCATGTACTCTTTGGTTACAGATAGGAGGAGCCAATCTGTTCTACTCAAGCAAAGCATCTCTCGGCTCTTGATCGCATTTCTTCTATGAATTAGCAGTGTGAAGAAGCAGAAGCTCGGCACATCCGTTTTTCCAAGCTGCCCTAGCTTGTCTGCTGTGAAGGTACGTGCTTACTTATCTTTTTCTTTTTTTTGGTTTCCTTTCTTTGTAACCTCTAATAAATTCTCCAATATCACTAAGTGAGCTCGTGTTGCTTGGAGCTCGTTTTAAATCAAAATTCATAAAGCACATTCTAAAGTTAAAAAAATGAATATTTTGCGCGGACATATATACAATTATATTACATATATATACCAGTAAATTTCCATAAAAATAGGGATATTTGGGGGCTGCATATAAATATGTGGATCCATAATAGATAAACTATTGAATATTATGGATCCACACAATTTTGTTGTTGTACAGCTCACAAATGAAAATATTTTTTAACAAAATTGTACAGGTACGTTTATCACATCTAGGTGTATAAGTGAGATTTGTTTCAAATAAAATCAAAACTTCAAAATATTAAGAGCGGAGCTAAAACTCCTATCTCAGTAATTGTACGTACCATATTAGTGAGCAGTAGTGCACCACTGCGGGTTAACAACGGTGAAACACAAACGTAACCGTATGTTCCTGTTGTGTATATGTATGCAGGTGACGGGACAATAGGGATCTTGGACTGATGGGTTAGACTTGCCAAATCTGTTGCTGCTTTTCTATTCTGGTCTTCCCAGAGAAATTTATTCACCATGAATCCTCATCGGTTTAAGATTGGTTGAATTTGCTACTAGTCTTCTCTCTTGATCGTTCGTTTGAGGAATTCATCATGAATAATGATCTTCGCACGGAGGTAATATTCCTGTGCCTTTTACATTCACAAATTATTACATGCACACACACACACACACACACACACACACACACACACACACACACACACATACTGAGGAGTACTTATGTTAAGCCATTCATGGCCGTGAAAGACATTTTTCTACATCAAGCCTAAATCATGCACTATATATATACAAAACCTGAGTACCTATATATATAAATCATGCACCAAAACAGAACAGGTCGACGTAGATCTTAGGAACCTAGGGCCTTTTTTTGTAGCCTAATGTACCAGTATCTCGCATTCTAGCCCACAATATCGATCAAATACGTACATGTCATTGGTTGGTACAACAAACCTAAACTCATAGGCGTGTAAATAAGAAGATAAGCAGACTGTACGCAACAAAATTCGAAGCTGAGCAGACCGTACTTAAGCTAGCAGGCCGATACACGATATACAGGTAGACAACTAGCCATGGTCCTTAAGTTACCACTCACCGTAACTAATTTGCCGTGGGCCGAGCTGTAAACAGTAACTGTGACTGAAATGACTGCTCAAACAACAATTCCTTTGTCCAGATATACACTATCGGCACTATAGACTATATGTTACATTGCTGTTCTAATTAATTTACTTGTTTTAACAGTACATTTTCGCAAGAGATGTTGATGGCGCAGTAGAGGAAATATTTCAATTTCTTCAGAACGAGAGCGACACAAAGGTCATCCATTTTTATGGTTGGGATGGGTTTGGGTCGTCCGTTGTTCTTAGATCGATAGCAGAAGTGCTCCCATCTAGGAGAACCACTCCAGAACTATGCTTTGACAGAATAATTTATGTAGATTGCTCTGAGTGGAAAAATAGAAGAGCAGCGCAGAGGGCAATTGCAGAGGAACTGGAACTTGATCCCTCAGCAATGGCCATTCTAGATGAGCAGGATGAAGAGGATGATTTTAATAAAGTTGCTGAAAGCTCGAGGAATGAGTTAAGCAATGTCGGGCAACTGATTCATCAAACCCTGAGGGACACCAAGTTGATGATGGTTTTTCTTAATGGAAGTGATGAAGAGGTTGATGTAGGCACCTTTGGTATTCCTCTTACAAGATTTGACAGCAATGTAATGATTTGGACCTTCAGCAGAAGATGCTTGACCATTGATTCGTACCCTTACAAGGTAGAAGACAAGCTTAGATATACTCATGCTTTGCTTCGTACCATTTGTTCTCTCACAGAGCTAAGAAGGGCAGAGTTTCTTGAACTGCTGCATCAAAAAGTTGCAACCATAGTTGCTCGCAATCCATTTGTACTAAAACTCGATCCAACAATGGTCGTAGATTGTTGTCTCTACGAGTTATTCTTGCATTGTAGGTTCCACACCATCACCGAATATAAATGGGTTGGTCATGCTTCCAACTTTTGGATATGCGATGGAATCATACAAGGAGACATAGCAAGGGATATAAGTAATTCTTTAGATAGAGAGATACACTGGGAGTGTGATTCATCATCGGGTTGTTGTCTGCTTTATCAGTTCATGCCATGCCGTTGGACATCAATACATCCAGATAATATACAAGACCATGAATACGAAGAACTACCCGTGGAAACATCATCTATCTTCTTGACATTTACAAGTTCTCGCAGACCAGTGTTTTCAAATGGTGCTTTTGATTATTACAAGAACCTTGGTGTGCTAATCATGAGTTGTTGTGCCTTCAGTTTTGCATCACCTCCTTTCCAGAAGTGTGATTCTCTAAGATTCCTTGGATTGGACCATTGTATAGATAGTGAAACAGGTAAAGGAGATGAGACTGCAGAGTGGGCATGTATACATAGCTTATTGGTGTTGGACCTACGTTACACAGAATGGAATGAAGTCTTATCTGAAGAAAAGTTGGATCTCATGACTAATATCAGAGAGCTAAACATAGAAGGGGTCAGGGGATGGCAGTACACAGCTAACCTACAACATCGTCTACCTAACCTCCAGAGGTTCCGAATAATCAAACCAACATATCAATGGAAGACATCAGGGGATTTTGATAACTCTTTTATAGATAAGACAAGTATGGAAATACTCGACTTGTCAGGCAACATTGACATGGAATGTCTTCCAACAAGCCTATCGGAGGCAAGTAGCCTTCGGTTGCTTGTACTTGATGGTTGCAGTGGGCTGGAAAACGTTGAAAGACTTCCTTCCTCCCTGGAATCCTTTAGCTTCAACGGACATGGGCCAGCTTCTCGATGGACACAAACTGTTGAGCTACCTCCGACACAATTCCAGCCGTCCACCACAACAGATAATAAGGATGTTAGAGTGTCTAACATCTCCTTACAAGGTTGCAGTCAATTGAAGAACCTGTTTTTGTGTTGGTTACCCAACCTCGTGGAATTGGACCTCTCTGAAACTGCAATCAAGGTACTTGACTTCAATACTATGTTGGTGCAAGTCCCAGGGCTCAAGCGATTGTTTCTAATAGGATGCAAGGGACTTCGTGCAATAATTCCGTTGGCCGAGAGTGGTTCTGAGATAAAACACGACCTGGAGTTGATGTGCATAGACACGCGAGTTGGAATCGTGTGTTCTCGGCCATCTGTCAGCAGGACCAAGTCGTTCCGGTTCAAATTGCATGTCGTTGCTATGGATGCAAGGCTTACTCGCTCTTTGATGGATCTGTTGTTGCCTTATGTACAAAAAGGTTTAATGAAGGATGTTTCTTATAACATCCATGTCACCTCCTTACCTGTGAACAATGGAGTTGATCAATTTGAGGCAACCAGGAAGAATAAAGTTGACCCCGGTGATCAAGAGAGCTTGCAACAGCTTATTCCAGCAGACACGTATAGTGATGTCCTTACAATGGTTGGTAGTCCCCCGATGCAGGATTTCCCGCAGCCTCCAACGACTACGCAGCTGGAGCAACATATGGATACGTGCCTTGAGTGGTGTTCCTGGTTGGTCTGATAAGTATATGATACGTTATGGGTTTAACTCCCTTAAGTGGTGCTGCGTGGAGAGGTGCCCAAAGTTGGATGTTTTCTTCCATTTACAGATGCATGGATTTAATGATCTGGAGATCTTCTGGGCGTCGGATCTCCCAATGGCCCACTGGATATGGAAGATTTGGAGTAAACCTCTACCTCTTAACTATATAAGCCCCAGTTCCTTTAGAGACCTACAGCACCTACACCTGAGGTCCTGCCCAAGCCTTCAGTTGGTGCTCCCGGTGTGGGTCTCCTCCTTCCCCAACTTGAAGACCCTCCACATCATCCATTGTGGCGACCTCATGCACGTCTTCGAGCTGAGCACAAAATACCCAGAGGAAATAGTCACCCTCGGTGTTCTATTCCCCAGACTGACCACCATCCACCTGCACGACCTCCCGAAGCTTCAGAAGATATGCGAGTTCAAGATGGTAGCGCCCGCACTCGAGAGCATCAAGATTAGGGGATGTTGGAGTTTGCGTAGGTTGCCATCCGTGGGCGCCCGTGGCCAAGGCGAGAAGAAGCCGGCGGCCGAGGTCGAGAAGGACGTGTGGGGCGCTCTGGAGTGGGACGACGACCACAGCCCCGACCACTTCGAACCGCCGGTCCACTCCCGCTACTACAAGGAGAAGCTGCCCAGGATCTCCGTTCTGAGGTACGCTATCTGCATATTACTGCTATGTCCATGCATCTTTGTACCAGTTCCTGGTTGCATTCAACTCACCACTTTATTTCGCCGTCTCCCACGTCGCCTAGGTGAACTCTGCGCTGCTGTGTTAATTTCTTCCGTCGCTACATCAAAACGATGGATGGGTGCTCCTGCTTCTGCTGCTGAAGCGAGTGCTTGGTTTGCTTGCGTGCTTTGCTTGGATTGCCAATGCCTGTTGTGGGAGCTTATGGTGGCTCTCACCTTGTGTTATATTGTGGCTTTCAATAACAGACGGACAGCCGGCTATGTGTGTGCCTGCATACACAGACCTGGCCGTTGCGCGCGCCTGTGTGTGGTTTGCGACTGCAACGGCTTATGTGTGTGCATCCACCAGGCTGCATTTGTGTGTGTGGCTTTAATGAGTGCTTGCTTGCTATGCGTGTGGAATTGTAACAGCTGCCTGCCTATGTATCTCTACATGGCTAGCTGCTTGTGAGTGTGTGAGTGTTTGCCATGTATTATCTGAACTTGTGTGTCTGTTTCTTTGCTATACTTATGAAAAAAATTGAAAAAGCAGCAGCTATCTGTGCTGGTTGTTGCAATCGCCTGGCTCTGTGTGTGAATAATTGGCCCATCTGTGAAATCTGTGCAAGTCAAGCATCCGAGTTATGGCTAATTTTTATTATTTCCGAGTATTGAAATACAAGGTTTGGTCTTTTGTCCTCCTTTATCAAGCTTGGAATATTTGGTAATCTTGCATAATTATTTGAGTTTGATGCTAAATGTCAGTTTTCAGATTGATCACAAACTCTTCAGATGATCATAAACTGAAGTTGCACCTGTCAGTATGATTTACAAGGTTTAAAGTATTGCACCGACAGTCCGACACTACTGCAGATTACAGTGCTCATGTGTTTAGATCTTACTGCTATTTTTAAACACAGGCTATTTTTTGGGAGAAGCTCATGTGCCTCAGATGCATCCAGCAAACGGAAATTAACGGACTAAATCAAATAGGAATAAAACACAGGTCAAACTGAAAAGTGACCATGGAATACTTCTGCTTGACGATATAATTATCTACTAATTAACAAAGATATTTAAACTTAGATGAACCATGCCTTGCATAGCTCAATTCAGTATTTCTCTTGGATTACCTGATGAGTGGGAACTCTAAATTACCAACAAACTCAAAAGGAGAGTACCATGGTGGCTTCTCCAGAAGCTAGCTATGTGGCCCCATTCAGCGGTTTTATATAAATCATAAAAAAATGTTATACAATCAGGCATCATATATATAATACTCCATCCGTCCCAAAATAAGTGTGGTATAAAGTTGAGACACTTATTTTGGGACGGAGGGAGTAGGTCGCAATCTTCTAGTTTTCAGAAAATTGGCCATGTTATTTACTTATATGAACCATATAATATCGTTATTCCCTTCTGAAACTAGTGCTAACTACTGAGAAATCTTGAGTCTTGACAACAGGCAGCAGCATATCAGCACATATCTTGAATCTTGAGTCTTGAGACAGATGGCATTGAGTATTTAACTTAATTACTAGATTTAGGGCTCCTTTGATTCAAAGGAATTGCATAGGATTTTTAGAGGATTTGAACCCTTAGGAATTTTTCCTGTAATGCTTGTTTGATTCGTAGGATTGACATTCTTAGGAATTTTTCCATAGTATCCATTTGTACTACATTTTGAAGGAAAATTTCCATCCACTCAAACCTCTTTGTAGAATTCTTTTGTTTTTCCTGCGCTATCAAACATTCTTTCAAATCCTGTAGGATACTATAGGACATGCCATCCTATTCCTACATTTTCCCTATTCCTTCATTTTGACAATCCTGCGAATCAAAGAGGCCCTTACCTTGGTTTGCATCTGGCATCTACTCCCTCCGTTCCTAAATACTTGTCTTTCTAGACATTTCAAATGACTACTACATACGGATGTATGTAGACATATTTTAGAGTGTAGATTCACTCATTTTGAACCAAAGAATGTGGAAACCGGTCAGCAGCAACACCAATCCAACTCTGAAGTCTGAATGCAGCATGCAGGGTAGTTGAGTTTGCAGATTCAGACAAAGAAGACAAATGAACCAAAGAAATATACAGGGTTCGATTCAGATTTCACTGCAGTTTCCCGTTCATCCATACCAATCCAATCCATGCATCACCAATCCGATGGAGTTTGGCTCATGGTGGGCCGTGACCCAGCGGAAGGATTCGGTGATGGCTGGGACTGGCTCATGGTCGCCGTCGACGTAGCCGAAGCAGCCGCACGACGCAGCTGTGTCGCCGGAGCAGTAGCTGGCGAGCTAGGAGACTGGGATCTGGAGCAGCGACTTCGTCGGGGATCTGCATCGCAGAGTCAAGCAGCCATCGCCGTCCGCAGGTCGACCCCGGGCCCTGCCATTTTTTTTATTTTGAGAAGAGAGAGACGATAGAATGGGTACGATTCAAGATAGATTTAGGCCCACAACTTTTGGCCCACGCCGCGATTTTCATTTTGGATAGAAACATTTAGCACCAAACGAGGCCCAAATTTAGCACGTCCACAGCGAGACATCTCGCCTCATGCTAATTAGTTTCCCTTCCCTGTTTTCTTATTTGTTTTTTTCTTCTTCTGTTCATATTTTCAAAAATATTCTAAATACATATATTACAAAACTGAAATTTATTTAAATGTTTGCAAAACAGCCAGTTTTTCTAAAAAAAAAAACATAACGCAGTGTGAAAACGTCATTACGATATTTTCTCAAAATTGTTGATCGCATTACAGAAAGGATGATTGTAACATTTAAAATAATAAGCATGCATTTCAGAAGGAATGTGCGGAGAACATGGCGTTTTGTGACATTTTCTGAAACGTTTATACAATATACATATTTGTCGGCGTAGTTTAAAAAATGATACATATCATTCAAAAATTGTTTCCATGTGTATTCAAAAATGTTTCACACGTATTTATAAAAATGTTCATCACATATTAAAAGAGTCCTGCTTGGTTTACTTGGATGGCTAGCTGCTTCTGAGTGTGACTTATTTGAGTGTGTTTGCCATGTATCTGAATTCTGAACCAAGAAGCAGCTAGCATATGTGTTTGTATGAAAACAAGGACACACACATGTATAGCTGCTGCTTTTCTCAGGTTTGCTGGCTGTTGCAAATGCCTCCTGGCTCATTGACACACCTCAGAAACTTGTGCGCGACAAAGCGTCCATCATGGCTACTGTTTTTTTATTCCCCGAGTGTTGAAATAGTGGTTTCAAGTATTGCACTGCTGCTGAATGATGAACAGATTGTAGGGGTCACATGTTTAGATCTTAGTCACAGAGAATTCAAACAGCTGCTATTTTTAAACAGAAGCTACTGACGACAGATGCTACAGTTTAACTGCTAGTAATAAATCATGTAAAGTGCCAGCGGAATGAACTAGCTCATTTGAACAATACGGCGACTTCTAAGTTCTTGGTCTGTCCTGAGTCAGTCTTCTGTAAGCTAATGTGTCTACAGCATGAGAATATATTTCATAATGAGACTAATTTGGCGTAGATGTTCGTATATGTTTTTTCAAACTTAATGACACATTGTGACATTGGGCTGCAAGTGATGCAGCAAAACCAGCAGAATACTCAGCTTCTGAACAAGCCCTCTAACCATGTCCTCTAATTACTCCCTCCGTTCCTAAATATAAGTCTTTCTAGAGATTACACTATGGACTACATACGGAGCAAAATGAGTGAATCTACACTCCAAAATATGTCTATATACATCCGTATGTAGTTTGTAGTGGAATCTCTAAAAAGACTTATATTTAGGAACGAGGGAGTACAATATTATTCAACACATGGAGATACTGAAGAAGAGATGAAGGTATTGCCTGCAGTGATAACCATGTACTCCAATTAATTTCATTCACTTTCAATATTTGATTTTTCAGAAACACTTGATTGATTCAGTTTGATGAACAAGAATGAATGTACCTAGTTAAGCTCAACCGCCTCAGATGCATCCAGCAAAGGGAAAATTTACTGTACTAAATCAAATAGGCATAAACAGAGCATCCAGCAAAGGGAAAATTTACTGTACTAAATCAAATAGGCATAAACAGAGGTCAAAGTGCAGAGTATAAGCATGGAATACTTGTATTCAACGATATCGCAATCAATAATAAAGCAACTCCATCTTGGATTGAATCATCCATGCACAGCTCAGTTCAGTGTTTTCACCTGGAATGGTTTATGAGTGGGACTCTAAATTATCAACAAACTGAAAAGACATAGTATTTGGAGTTTGGATATGAAAAGCACTGCTTTTA